TCTAGTGATCTTTTTGGTTGTGGTGACTAAAGTCCAAAGGGTTGGGAAAGTGAGAGAAAAAATTGATGATGAAGAAATCAACTCATTCCTGCCAAGGTAAACATCAAATTCTCCTGCGCACGATTCTCTTCATATGTAATTGTTTTGTTTTTGTGAACAGGCATAAGGCTATTCATCTGCCACCAGAAAAATTCTCTAGTATACTTAACAACAAAGACTCAGCTGTCTTTCTCATGTTTAATTTCCTTCTGCTGGTAAGGGCACGATTTTGAAGAATTTCAAAGTTACAAAGTCAATACCACTGCTGTACATAATGATTAGTAGCTCAAATATTTGTGATGAGTGTGACTTGGTTCTGAGACTTGTTTGTTTGTTTTTATAGTACTTCACACAGTCTGCGAAATACGAGCTCGCTTTAACCTGTTCAATGTCCAGCAAGACATGGTTTAACATTCTGCATTTTGTTGCTAGTATATTGTTCAAAAGTGATTTCCTTTCTTGCTCATCCAGATTAGTCATATGCAGAAAAAGTGCTTCCTAAACACATATGGACTCGTCTTTGGATAGCAAAAACCACGATAAGATTCCTGAAGCATAGGTAAATAACTAGGGATACAATATACAATTATTATACAACAAAATCATAGAAATCATTTGTTTTTTTACGGTTATATTTGGCAGGCTCAAATGGAAATTCCTTTGCTTGTTTTTGCTAACAAGAGTGATCTTCCCAGTGCATTGAGTGAAGATGATATTGATAAACAGTTTGAACTTACCTCTATCCATGGACGAAAATGGTGAGAAAACACACATTTCCATATTTCTTAGTTGAAGGACTTGACTGGCTCCGAGATATCATCATCGAGGAACTAACCAAGAGGAAAGTAGAAACAAAGCAATAGCAGATTGTTAAAAGAGTATGGTGGAACCAAAAAAAATTCTTGATATCATGAGACTGATTTGATTGTTAAAAGAGTAGCAAGGTAAAAGACTTTTAAGTTCATATTTTCTTTTCTAGTGTTTGAATATATGCTGCTTTCCAACACTGTTGTTCACTAATTTTTGTATATATTGTTTTCCTTTTCCAGATTTTTAAGAACAGAAGCGTTATTCTTAAACATTCCACCAATGCTTACTACAAAGCTCATCAATATTTTCAAAGGCAACATCATGGCTCCTCAGCAACCAAATGGCTATGATTGCGGGCTTTTCACTCTCCATTTTTTGGAAAGCTTTCTACAACAAGCTCCAAGGAAGTTTACACAAGAAAAGTTGGGTGGGTTCAATACTCCTTCGTGTGTATTTGATAGTCCTCCCACCTTAAGGTCAAAGATACACAAGCTGATGCACGGTTTTTTCACCGAAAGAAAACGTTAAGATTTCTGTTTAAACCACTTCGACTTGCCATTTGAAAAGACGAGTTCCGCATGGAAGATTATCGACACACTCAGAGGACATTCGAAAAAAGATTGACTCGTCTGATCAGAAGATTCATGATTTGAAGGAAGAAATTCAACTAGAAAAAGAAAACAAGGCACATTTGGTAGAGCATCGAAACCAGGCTAGAGTTATTATACAAGATAAGGAGCGTGAACAACATAAAATTGATGAAGAAATCAACTTATTCCTGCCAAGGTAAACATCAAATTATCCCGCGCACAAATGCTCGTCACATCAAATTTCCATATTTATTATTTCACAATCTACACCTGGACTAATGTATAATGTTTGTACAAGAAAGTTCAATCTACATGTGCCATCATCGAGGAACAAAGCAAGAGGAGAGTAGGAGGAAGAGTGAAGTTAAAGAGGAGAAACACGAACCAGAGAAATGTATGGTGGAAGTAGAACCGAACGAATCCAAAACAATAAAGAGAAAACACAACCCCAATAGCCAAGAAGGAGTTACAGAGGCCCTGTTCTTTTGCCAGTCGCTGGCGATAGTGACTAACGAGTCACTGTGTTGTTCGTTTAGCTATCGCTGCGATTTTT